CGTCGTACCCGTCCCTCAAGATGCTGTTATAGTCAGAAAGGGCAGTGCCGAGGGTGTTGAGCTGCGTCTGAAGGAGGTACTTGTCGAGACAGTGTTGCGGGATGCTCGACTTGGACTTTTCGACATTCTCCAGCGTGTTGTATTTGGATGGGCAAGGTGGGAGCATTGTGCCCAGGATAACCTGGTCTGCCAGGTCGTTGTCGACATTTCCGCTGTTTACAAGTTAGCACTTGGGATGTCCGGCTTCATGGTGGGACACAAATGGACAATGTGGCGCCGCTGTGAGACTCACGATCCGGAAGAAGACAGCAGCCATGCGTTAATGACGGAGGTGAACGGATGTTCGTTGGTGTTGATGTTGTCCTTGGCCGGAATGGGATCGGACCCCTCTGCGTCAATCATGTTGGCTGACCCAATGGTATAGAGGTTATAGAACCAGATCTGTCCGCTCTCTTCCACGTGGACGAGATGCTTCTGGCAGGTTTGCGTGTCGATGCAGTCCTGCGTGTAGTCGTCGAACCAGTTATACAACCCCGCGCCAAAGATATGAACGTTGGTTGACCCTGAAATCATCAATGCCCAGGCAGCTGCGCAGTGCGGCTCCGACTCTGGGCACTCGCTGAAGTCGGGATCCCCGTTGAAGAGCCCGACCTGGTCCGTGAACGGGGCAGGCGCCTTGGGCTTTGGCAGGTAGTACGGGCTTTCTGTTTGAATCTGGTTCGACATCATTGTTAGGCCTACGAGTCTCTAATGATAGAAGGAAGGGCTTGGAAGACTTGGTCCAAACGCCGGCACTTACGTTGCCCATAAACACGTCCTGTGCTTCCAAGAGGAGATACTGATAAAAAACGCAATGCTCCGACGCGGTTCCGTAGAGCCAGACAGGGCCGCCCTTGCTTTCGATCAAGATGCCACGAGCGACGTAGATATCGATCTGGGTCTGTGCCGGGCCGCTGTCAAAGTCGTGGTCCGCCACCCACGCCCACACATTCTCCAGATAGCCCGACGAACCCCCAGTCATATGGAGCAACATGGACCCGGCAACGCATTTCGGATTGATAGTACCAGTGAGCTTGGGGCAGTCGGCAGCAGTCAGGCCGGTGCCCATCGCTCCGCCGATGCGGAAGTGCGAGTCCCACATGGCAGCAGAGCCCTGCAGGTCTTCGGCCATGTTCCACTCCATCAGAACTGCGCCTGGTGTAGGGCCCTTTGTGGTGAAGACGAGATCCTGGATCTCGACGCTCCCCTTTTCGCCCCAGTCCCCGACCTGCACCATAGTGTATGGGGAATCAGCGTCGCTGTAAGACTCTCCGTTGGCGACGATTTGGGCCCAACACTCGCCTACAATCACGGACCCGATCGGAATCTGACGAGTAACGGGGCTAGTTAGCACCATATAAACGAATGGAGTTGGGGAGTCAGGAAAGCCTTACTTGCAGAGTGGATTTCACAAGGTACGACCCGAAGGGGATGTACAGCGGACGACGTGTGGCAGCTGCTAACGCGAGATTAATTGATAAAGCAAAAGTGTCGTCCGTAACGCCGTCACCTTTTGCGAGGGTGCCGGCATTGATGAAGTCGCTGGCGACAAGGTTCTCATACTGGGGCTTTTGGCGCCTATAGTATGCGCCGCCCTTCATGAGCGAGCCTTCCGTTGGGTGCAGAGCCGACAGCGGCCCGCTCTGGTATGTGCCACTGGGGTTCTTCTCGTCGTAAACCTTGCCGACGACCCAAGATCGAATGACGCGGCTGCCGCCCTCGAGCTGGGCGCCATCCGTTTCGTGATCCACGGCCTTACCGACGCCGAAGACCTCGACGTTGTCCAACGTAATAGTAAACTTCTCGGAGGGGGTGTTCCCGACGGGCGTGGAAACTGAGATACCCTTACTCATGCCCAGCAAGAACGAGTCCATGACGATGATGGAGCCGCCCCTGAAGTCCCCGGACATGCGGATTCCGTTTTCGGTAGTGCTCATCAGAAGACCCTTCCAGGTCCAGCCCCAGTCCCAGAGCATGTCGATTCCGGTGCGGCAGCCGACGAAGACCATGTTGATCGACGTGAACTGCTGGTTTCCACCTGTTGTGACCGGGTGTCAGTAGTGTGAATATAGGGTTAGAGCGTTTGGTCCCAGTAATTGGTCGTCCCAGTAGCCACTTACATCGAATGCCAATCTCGCCATTAAAGAAGGTCATATCGCCCATGAAACCACCACTCCCGTTTTCTGCGACTATGCTAGTGTAAGTCAAGGCGGGAAGCTAGCCCTTTTTTTTTTTTTTTTCAAAAGCCGGGAGAACTTACAGATACCCATATGGTGCTTGTCGGTAGACGGTGACTGGTAGAAGTCGACATTCTGGATGCTAGTAGCCTGGGCCACTTGCCAGTGGAGACCGGCAACGTCGTCCATGTCTGCGTCTTGGACGTCCACTATGAAATTGCGGAGCTGACGAAGAAAGTTGTTCTGTCCTTTGCCATCAGAAGCTGCCAGCCAAGATGACTAGAATGGAGACTCACCTGGTTGATGTACCACTGCTCCGCGCCTCCATTGCCGCCCGTGTACTCGTCCACAGAGATGACGCCGAGGCCGGTAAAAGACTTGGCCGCCTTGATAATAGGCCGGACATTCGCCTGCGTTCCGAGTTCCGGTTGTGGTTAGCATGCCAGTCCAATCCAAACCTAGGGTTTCATTTCATCGGGGGCAACAAGGCTCTCGAACTCACGTTTCCAATCATCTGAGTGTTGTAGTACGCAATGATGGGCGTGCTGACGAGGTAGGTGCCCGAGGGAAAGTAGACGATGGCCGGCTTGACCGTGGAGGCGCCGCAGTTGTTGCCACAGCGGTTCTGGTCGCTCATGGCTCTGTTGATGGCCTCGGTGTCGTCCGTCTTACCGTCGCCCTTGGCGCCGTAGTCCTTGACGTTGCGGAACACCTTGTACCCGTCGTTGGCGGAACCGCCGAAGGGGACCTTGCCCGTGTGGCTGATGTCCTCCATCCAGAAGGTCGAGAGAGCCCTCTTGCCGAGGCTGCCCGCAGCAGCGCCAGCCCCGGCGTCAGCCCCGGTTGGACCAAACATCTGCTCTTTGAGCTGCCTGATGTCGTCGGGAAGAGGCGGGTAGTCCACGGGGACATTATGGGCATAATCTGCCTCGGCAACAATGGCGGCAGCAACGGCGATGGTCTCGTTGATGGCAAAGGCAGCGACATCATCTGCGCGGGCGCGCAAGCCGGCTGCGCCGGACCCATGCTTGGCCCAGTACGCGTTTGTGCGTGGATTGGCGAAGCGCTCCTTGTTTCGGGCGCTGGCCTCCTGCTGGGCCTTGCGGACAAGCGACCTGGCTTCCAGGACGGTCGAATTGGCACTTGTCGAGTTGCCCGCCGTCTGGAGCTGACGCCTGTGCCGCGGCACGAAGGGTGGCACGGGCGGCGCTGGCGATGTGGGATGCAAGTCCCGTTTCAGATGTGAGCGTTCCTCCAGTTCCCCAGAAGTCGTGCTCAAGAGGGAGACTTTGGCTTGTTCGGCTGATACCAGGACCCTCTGAAGCTCGGCGCTATCGAGGTCTGGATGGCTGGACTTCCATTGGTTGACAAAGTCATCTATGAAGGTTGAGATGTTGGCAGGACCTGGAACGAATCAAGTCAGTTCACCATCAAAGGTACTACCAGATGCGGGAGGAGGGAGGGTGTACTTGTGCCGACCGCCACAGGCTGGGAGGTAGGGCCAGCCAGTGGCGAAGAGCTTGCGCCCAGAGCTGCTACCAGCAGCCATAAACAGGAAGACTTAACGAACATGGTGATCAGATGACCTTTTCTTTTTCTTTTTCTGAGAGAGTATGTGTGTAAGGGAGAGGACGGCGGCGGTCGCCAAAGTCAAACGAAAAGAGTGAGTTGATGCCAAAGCGCTGGAGGAACAAACTGAGGGAGACGAGACGGGAGAATTAAGCGTCCAGCGTCCACGGGATAAAAGGCCTCGAGATAGACAGCTGTAAGCTTACCGCTCAGTAACTCGTATCTACTCTGTAGATGCATATTGCAGTCAATGGGTGTAAGTGATAGCCAGGGTAGGTTCCTGCATTCATGCATACCGCGTGCGGCCGCGTGGGTATCCTCGTAAGGAACCTAGGTATGATATGCTAAGCGCGGGCACTCCTCCGTGCTAGTTGCTTCGGCCCGTGAGAAGTCTCCACAAAGAAGGCTTATTTTTTCATTGTTTAGTGCTGACTGTATTGTACCATCTTCCAATTTCACAAGAGATGAAAATGAGATAAGCTCAGATCCCTGGGAGCGGCCCCCTCTATCCATACTCGTGCCCGCCCCACCAAACACGGTTAACCACCTACCTTATTAGGTGGTGCGGCTGGATTAGGCCCCCACAGGCGTGCTTACACGGTACATACCTGAAGTAGGGGACTTTTGGGGGTCGCGCGGAGACACTTCCTCATCTAGAAGCAGCGCAACCACCCAACAACAATCAGGCTATTCACAAGGGCAGCCATCATCTAGCATCGTGAATGGGATGCCAGTTTGGGCTCCTCGTACAGCCCTTCGTGGGCCCCACCTTCAGCCCTGCGCCAGGCACCCGAGCTCACAACTCCAGAGCGGTTCGGTCAGAGCCCCGCCTTCCCGCGTGGGGCCCGGGTGCGCACGAGCTCATTTCCGGCACGGACACCGTTCACGTCAACCTCCTTACTAAATAGGCTAGAGTGAGTGGCCTCAAACTAGTTCTGTAATACCGGGTGCTTGACATGGAAGTATTGTAGGTTTTTGTTCGGGGGGCCAACGAACGACGAATAATTACGGGATTTTGCTTCCCTTTCGGCTGTGCGGCTCGGAGCGACGGCCCGTCTAACTATCGTTACCGTCGACTCGTTGCAGTTGTCATATCTATGCCTGAGAAAATAAGTACAGAGTCGTATTAAGCCTAAGAGTGCTATCTACTAAGTATATCGAAAGTTTCAGGGGCATATTGAAAACGCAACAGGGAGAACATGGTTGATGGGGCGATCAAATGCAAACGGCGTTCTCAATCTTCGTTCCTCCTTGCTCATAACATTCCATCACAACCTGGTGGTCCCTCGCCTGCTTGCCTTGGGCCGCGCCGGCAAACGTGTCCGTCAGTCGGTCCGCTCGGACCTGTTTCATCTGGTCCTCGACGTTAGGGATGGCGGCCTGGTTTGCGGTGATGGTCTCGGGGGTCAGGATTTTCTCAATGTCTCGGTCCTGGCCGTCGACCCACTCCTGGTAGCCCATCGGCGCTGTCTTGACGTCAATGCCTGGGATATGGGCCACGAAGTCCTTCTTGATCCAGTAGTCGTGGTCGGCCGTGCGCGCTGCCAACACCGAGGTGCGGCTCTCCTCGACCCGATCAAAGAGGAACTTGACGTCGGGACTGTCGAAGGTCGCTTGGGGGAGCGTACTTTTGACGTAGGCCATCCGATCGAAGATGGAATTCAGCGACCCGTCGTAGCCCCTCTTCTTGCCGAGAACCACGCCGTCCTTGATGATATCGTCCCCATAATACGCAGGGAGAGCGCCGTCCTTGAAGAGGCGGTAGGGCGGGTTGCGACCATCGGCAGCATCGTACTTGATAATGTTTTCCGCCGTTTTCTTCATGTCAAAGTCGAGCTTTTCTTCGTCCCACTTGACGCCATCAACGAAGAGCTGGTTCTTATAGTTCTTGCCCTTGTTGCTATCGATGTGCCCGATAAACTCGCCGAGAGTGCAGACCGTCCTGGCCGGTTGTTTTGGTTTGCAGTGAAGATATTTGGGCTTATTGTTGCCCGGGTCCTCACAGGGCAGCTCCTCCCTAGTGGGCCACTTTGCACACTTTACGCCTACTGTTCGCTGGTCCTCCGGTAAAAGCTGGTCGATCCGGTATGCATAGAAGAAGAGGATCTTCTCATATGCTGCTCGTCTACCGGCGCCCAAGGCTCCGGGAACGAGCCAGAGCAGGCTGAGGATGAAGACGGGAAACCGCATGATGAGGGACTGCTGTGAAGAAAACGTGGCGACGAGGAAACGAAGCTGCGAGTGAAGGAGTGTATGAAGAAACGAATGCGTAAATAGGCTGAAGGAGCAACAGCGTCACCTCTACTGTCCCCGTTGTCCCGTTCGGTTATGATTCTTGAACGTTGAGATTTTCGGCCATCTACAACGGCAGTATGAACATGTTATGGATGCAAGGAACGACAAGAGATGTTGGACCATGAGATGGAAAATAAAATGAGATGGGAAATGAGATGGAACAAAGTAACAAGGTGATCCACCGGTCAGCGTAGGGCCTGATTTTGCCATATCCAGTATCTCATATCCGTACCTGCGTCAATATAGACCGTAGGGTGTGGGCCAAACAGGTGACCGCTCACAAGGCTTGCACCCCGGTCCCTTGGTCAGCCTCTGCCTGACCATGAGGGGGCGCATCTGGAAACGGCTCGTCAGCCTCCGATGAGCCGTCTGACGCCCACCCCATCGTCCTGTCCCAAGCCCGCGATATCTCGTCAAAGTTATCCGCTCCAACTTCAGGGATGTCGACGTCTGGCCAAGGGCTGATGATCTTTGTGCGGAATGGCGCCGGGGGGCACGGGGTGTACCAGACCTCCAGCTGAGAGATCCAATCCTGCAACAAGAGCGCCTTTTTCCTTTCCGGCCATGAGCCTGGCGTAGGATGTATCTCCAGGTGCTCGAGAGTCGCGATGTCCCTCACGGCACCACTAGTGTTCCAGAAGAAGGCCTCCGAGTCCCTGGACTCGAGCGCCAGGTACTTGATGGGTGCATCCTTGGCACTCGACCAGATAGTAATGTCGAAGGCGGTCATGCAGACGGTATCGATGTCGTAGTTCACCATGGCGCGCGACGCCGATGATCCACTGCGGCCGCAACGAGCCTCCTGGGTATAATGGCCTCGGAGATGCGACCTCGATTCCGCGCAGGCCTGTAGAAAGGCTGGTGGGCTTGATTGCGCATGGAGGTACTCGCATTTTCCAATAAGCACGTGCCGGGGCTCCATGCTCAGTTCCCAGATGCGTTGGCGCAGCTCGAGAGGCAGCCGGGAAAAAGGACCGAATGATGCCATTGAAATTGTCCGTCAACCTAGAGAGACCGAAGTGGCAGGAGACAGGAATAGATGCCTGGTTGAGTGGATATTCGGTAAGGTAGATGGAATGTGATTGAAGCAAGGAGATAAAGGGACACAAAAGAATTCGACCAACTACTACGATATTTATATATCCGTCTTTAGATGTGGATCAGTTGCTGTTGGTTTAGGAGGGGTAATCATACCCTAGGGTAGCTTTTACCGGGTGTTATATTATGTAATATCTACTAAGCTTATTTTTGTGACCTTATCAAAGAATTGATCCGACACTTACATGGTTAAAGCACGTCGTATGACTTCCAATGAAATCCCACCCATCACACCCATGCCGATGATGAGATTTGGCCGAGGGAGACGAAGCCCTTTTGGCTGACCCCCCTGACAACTGACAGAGGAGAAGCCGGTTCTGGTTCTATTCCGGGTTGTGGACTCATGGGCTAATCTAATGGCGTCGTGACTCGACACCATCTGGCTGGTATTAGGATGTGCTTCGGCCCTCTTCTTCGCCGCCTTGTTGTCGTGTGTCCGCGCCTTTCAACCTCACGCTCATCCCATAGCGGACCATCATTCGTTTGTCCATCCCTCCTCTACTTGGCCTCCAAGTTGCAAGCTCAGCATCATGATTCTCTCTTCGCTCGCGTCGGCAGCCCTCTGGCTTGCCATGATGCCCCGGGAAGCCGGGGCGTCGGCAGTGCACCTGGGAAAGCGAGGCGAGACGCCTCAGGCCAATGTGCTGGCCGACACCATCAAGTCGTGCAGCTACTGGTATGACAACTACGAAGGCGAGAGCTGCGTCGTGGTGCGGGATTACATGTTTGCCATCTCCCCCGAGACATTCAGCCGCTGGAACCCGTCGGTCGGTCTCGACTGCAGCAACTGGCAAGACTGGACCTCGTACTGCATCCAGGTCGCCAGCGAAGAGCCTCCCAAAACCACCACCACCACGGCGAGCACCACGACGACTGTGCCCGCGCAGTCTCAGACGCCCACGGCCGTGCTGACGGGATGGAACCCAATGGGCTGCTTCATCGACGACCACACGTTGGCCACCGAGTCGACGAAGGCTGGCGGCAGCAGCCTCACTGTGGACAAGTGCCAGGCCGCGTGCTGGAGCGAGGGCTTCCGCTACGCCGGCGTCAAGTCGGGGACCGAGTGCTGGTGCGGCTCTTTTGTGGGCGGCGACTGGGCCGCAAACCAAACCTCGTGCAACGTGCCCTGCCCCGGCGACGCGAAACAGACGTGCGGCGGCAAGGCGCTGCTGCTCGTGTTTGAGGCTCAGGTCAAGACGGATCCTCTGCCGCCCATCAGCATCCCATCGACCACCTCCCGCACAACTGCTATTACATCCTCGTCCGTCTCGCTCACTTCGTCAACGTCGACACCATCGAGCACTGCACTTCCACCCATCTCCTCTCTCCCAGCCTGCGGGCAAACATGTTTCTTGAATATGATCAACACATACTCATCCCTTGGATGCTCCACCCCCGATCCGGCATGTCTGTGCCGCAATGTCAACTTCGGCTATGGCATCCGGGACTGCTCAAATGCAGTCTGTGGAGTGACCGATGCGAGCGCAGTAATTGCATACCAAAGCAAGTACTGCGCCAGCGCACTAGCAACTGCTACGGGTGGAACGGCAACTCCAACTTCAGCTACAAAGACCACTTCCGCATCTTCCACAACCGCGATCACAAGCCTGCCAACTTGCGGTCAGACATGTTTCAACAACATGCTTGCGCAATATGAATCATTGGGATGCACATCCCCTGATCCGTCTTGCCTCTGCCGCAACGTCAACTTTGGATATGGTCTGAGAGACTGTTCTAACGGTGCTTGTGGAACGAATGTTGCTAGTACTGTTATTGCGTATGGTAGTGCCTATTGTGCTGCTGCTACTGCCACGGCGGCAGCTTGACGGGAAATGGTTTGACGGTCTAGATGAGAATTGTGAATTATAAATATTTTTGCGTTAATGATTGTTTTCGATGAGAAGAGAATTTCTTTGAGACGGTATTTCTCCATCGAGGAGGGGGTTGGGGGGTTGGGGGGGGGGGGGGGGGGGGTTTATTACCATTTTCCAAGGTCTTGCCCTTATATCTCAGAACCTGTTTCCACGCTGTGATTCCTTCGTGTTCGAGAACGTAAAGCTTGACGTCGAGTATGGTTTCGCCATAGGCACGAAACACCTTGCCGTCGTAGCTGACCTGGCTCCCTCCCGGGTACGCGAGCTGCCTCGACAGTCTCAGGCAATGGTCAGAATCCTGCAATATAGCTAATCAGTTTCGTGATGACCATAGAGAATGAAGCAATCTTAAAATTGCAGACGAATAAATTATTAAAATCAAATGATAGATCTACTATAGCGAAAACGATATAGGAGTGAAAAGCCTGCCTGTGCGACTGCAGATAAATAAAGTCAGAGGAGAACAGTGAGATTAGGAGATCAACAGTAAAGGGCAGCTGGTTGCATTTCTAAAGCCCTCATAGGACGTAAAGGATGAGCAGACTTAGAGAGAGAAGGGGGGGACGCAGAGACCTGGAGGAGGCCAACAGTTAGGCCGCCCTTCACGCATGACCCCGCCTTGAAGGACGTCAAGCATGATGATGAGACTGGGGGCAACGCGAAAATAGCAATAAGGCGATGCTAAAAGGTCTGGGGAGGAAGAAGGCGGGGGTGTGAGAGAAGGATGATTTTGTCGGGGCGGGTGGGCGAATTGAAGTAGTTACAAACGGCAGACTGTACAGCGCCGAAGCAGCGGCGGCGTAACCCGGCACCGTTTTGTCTGATAAGTTAGCCGGGATCCTGCTCTTCTAGATAACCCTGCCCTCATTGGCTTATCAATGGAGAGCGGACGGGATCCCGAGTTTTCCAATGGGTATGGTCGTATGTGCCAGAATGAGGGCATCGCAACATCCATGATGGCCACGTAACAGCACAGAACTGTGGTCCCCAAGCTGGTCACTCGTCAGCTGTACTCGCCCGTGAAGGCTTGTAACTGCAGACAGCTATCGTGACTAGGTTCTGGTTGAGTCTCAAAGTATCCTGCTCCAGTGAGGAGCCAGCAAGGCGAAGGATCAATGACTTGATGCGCATTGCTCTAATAGAGTCTCTACGTTAGGTCAGCATGTTTCAAGTGTCGAGCTATGCAGCCCCCCTAGCCAAGTCTTCTGAATATCCGTGCAAAGTTACCTTACATAATTAGCTACGAAACATCAAAGGAATAAAAGGAAACAATCAGTGACCTTTGGAGGAGGTCCTGCTCATTAAGTCTAGTAAGAGAAGGTTTCTAACGCGCGCCCTAGCCCTCATATTTGATCGAATAATAGTTGAAGTAGTTGAACATGCATCGTCATGTTTGCCACATCATGCTTTGTCCGTGTGATATTTCCCTTGGCAGGCAACGCGGGAAAGGGGTTTTGCCAGCTGGAAGACACAAGGTTGGGTGATGGGCGATCAGATGTCAAACACGATTTGTTATTCGGCATTAAAAGCCCCACTATCCAAAGAGTGGGCTCAGGCAGACGCGGCAGCAGTCTTGCGGCTCGGCTTCACGACACTATCGTGCCCTTATACTTGAGATTGACATCCTACCTTACATGTTACTGGGAAAGGACAGGTAGGAAATGAATAGCTGGAAGAAGCGTTCCGGCAAAGACAAATGTTACGCGTCACTAGAACACATCGAGATGAAATGAAGGGGATCCCGTTACATCTGAAGAAGATTGTCATTCCGTAGCATGTCAAAATGATGGATGAGCCTTCGCCTCTCGATTTGTCAAACTGCGGAACATTCGGGGTATCGGTGCTGGTATGGGCTTCAAGCTATCTCTCGCCACGGTGTGATAGCAACATCATAGGACCCAGGTAGGAGAGCCTTTACTGAGGCTTCTGGCAGGTGTAGACGTAGCTATCTGAAGTGGACTATAGGGAGACATCGTTACTTTTGGGTCGATTAGAATAAGAAATGCCTGCAGGCTGCAGTGGCGTGAGCGAACTGGGATTCCCTTGCAGTCATGGCCCAGAAGACTCAGGAACCAGCCCAAAGAAGAATGCAACTTGAGGCGAACTGCCGCTCCGCGTTGATAAAAAAAACACCTTCATTCATACCAAAGAGAAATTATGTCAATATTTTAAACTCAGCGCCATTGGACGGAATGAGATTGACGAGAATCGCCGGTGTTGTCCATTTACTGTGCCCCTGTGAGGGATGCAGTATGCCATGGCTCACAGTTTACACTTTGTAATGGTTGAGATTCGATCTTACAGACACAGAGCTCATATTCTCTTTTAGCAAGCAAAGCGTGAGATGGTCTCACTTATCAAAAGATACTACGAGCTCCTCAAGGAGATGGATTAGGTAGTCGGGTGACTACGGGCGTGCTCCGGAGGTTGCGCCGACGTCGAGAGGCTCATCGCGCAATTCTGTAATTTGTGCACATCATCGTGTGTCTTCCACTCGCCTATATCTCGGGTCCAATTGCTCTTTATGTCCAAGCAGATCCCAATGGGTATATACTGGAGCTGTTCATTTACAGCCTCATCCAAACCATCAAAGAGAATGAGATTAGTAGCTATGTGTCTCTGAGCGAACACCCTTACCCTCAGACGGGCGACATTCAATTGCTGGTAGCATTAGGTGATGTGGGCATCTTATTAGATGTGTGAGCTGTCTCACAAACAATTCACTTTCTTCGATAACAAGGTCCTTGGATGTGTAAGCTGCGGCTGGAGCAACAGACTTCCTCGTGGTTTCTTGGTCATGCTTGTGTTCACGCAGGAATCCTTCATAAAGCTCCGGCCCGCAAGGCATCAGCACGTACGCTGATAACCAATCAAATTACTACCCGGCGATGGATGTTCTTATCATGGATTCAAGAGCACATGAGTTGTGAGCTCCGTGTCCATAGTAGGAGTAGTCACCGGAGGCCTTGCCGTTCAAGCTTCCGCGATAGTTTGGAGAGGACTTGGCAAAACTTCAGCCTTCTCAGGCTCATCTCCCCAGGTAGTGAATACCTTTAAGGAATCCTTTACTGAGTTTGAAGGTTACCGATCCTCTTGTCCTTAATTTTCAAGATGCTGTACATGATTAAGCCGTAAGGGATAGAAAGCAGTCTCGTTAAAGAGATTGGACAGACGCCTGGGGATGGGAGGTTGTGTTTGGCAGTAGCCGGAAGCTGATGTTGAAAGATTCAATTTTTTCGATGACAAGGTACTTGGGAAGCACAAACGCCACTGTCTCTGGCTTCTCATGCGGAGAGCTAGAAAGTCAAGATAACAAGGGACGAGTCTCTGAAACAAAATGGAAAATACCGTTAGAGTTACATGCAAGGCTGCTTGTTATCTTGTCAAGGCGGACGTCCTGGCCAACTTTGATGAGCAAACCCAACGGTGTAGATCCCGGCTTGTGAGCAGAAATTTACAAACTTTGTATTTGTCACGTAACAGGGATAGTAACCGCAGACCGCGAAGTGCCCGTCACGTGCTGTATCACGTGTATATCACTTACATCTTGCATATAGGCCTTTTTCTTTTGTCTATTTCCACTTTGATAGGTTAAGCCACTTTACCACAC